TTAATTATTAATTATTTAATTAATTATCAATTATTTAATTATTAATTATTTAATTAATTATCAATTATTTAATTATTTAATTATTTAATTTATTATTAGTTCTGTAAGTGATCATTGTATTATTCATTTCCATTGTACTGTAATTGTTTTTAAGGAACAACATAATAAAAAATGCATAATACATAATAGATGAATATAATAATAGTGCAATAATGATGGATATTGTTAATTTTAATTAATAATAATAGATTAATTATAGGTAATTATGGATATACATTTAATACATACATTTAAAGTCTTTATTTTTTTGTAAAATTACTACTACTTTTACTATACCTAAATTATTAATCGAGTAAAAAAATAAAAAAAAATATTTTTCATAGCAAATCACAACATGTAAATCCTAGTGAAAAAATAATGATTAGTTTCTAATTTAAGAAGGAATTTATTTATTTTATTTATTTTCCATAAATGAGTATTTTAAGAAGATTCAAGGCTATTGACTTGCTTCGTTTTAATAACGTGTAAGTAATAGACAATATTCATTATTCCTTCAAAATCTTTATTGAACTAAATAAATTAATATATATATATTTTTGCTATCAAAGAAACCTTGACTACTTGACAGAAACGGTAATACTTTATTATTATTTATTCGTTTTTTTTATTCATATTATTATTTTAATAAAAGAAATAAAAAAAAGGTTATAATGTTCAAAAAAAAAAAAAAAAAACTCATTAGTTTCAAAATAAATTTATCAATATAGTATAATATTTCTTTTTACTTGTCATATCTTGCAAGATGGCCAGATCTTTTTTGTGTACAAGAATCTCCAACTGGAAACATGATGGGATATAGTTGAGTTAATAGAATATTTAATAATATACAATATATAAATAAAATAGGTGTAATATTAACTTTGGATTTTTTATATTAATTTAGTAATGGGTAAAGCAGAGGGACGTGGTAAAGAGTGGCATGGTCACGTAACAGCTATCACAGTTGCTACTGAATATCGACGTTTAGGTTTAGCTGATGGTTTGATGAAATTATTAGAAAAAGTTTCAGATAAAATGTAAATGTAGAAATGTAGTTAACTCGAGATATTTAGAGAGACTTTTAAGTTATTATTATTTTTATTGTTAAATCTGATCAATTTTTTTTTTATTTTTATTTAGTTATGAAGGGTGGTTTGTTGATCTCTTCGTTAGAATTACAAACGAAGCAGCTATTGGAATGTATAGAAAATTTGGATATAAAGTGCATAGAAGAGTAGTTGGTTATTATTCATCTAGTGATAATAATGAAGAAGATGCTTACGGTAAGTTTTTTTTTTTTTTTATTTTTAATTTCAAAAAAATTTCAAAAAAAAAAATTTTTTAATAAAGAATTTAACTTTAAAATTTATTAAATTAATTTAATATTATTTGATCTAATTAAAAATTGAACAAATTTTTTATTGAAGATATGAGGAAATCTTTGTCATTAGATGTAAATGGAGAATGTGTTAATGAAAATGGAGAAAATATATTGGTTAAACCTGAAGATTTATAACATTTATAATATCAATAACATTTGCAGTTCTTGTATATTATATTATATTATAGAGATAGTAATATATTTTTTATTATTTGAAATAATTAAAAATTAATTTAAAACCAAGAAATTTGATTATACAGAAATTTTTATGTGATTATATAATGATATAAAGTAAATATAGTAATTGTGATATGATTATAAAAGATGTGATTATTAAGAATTCGATTATAAAACGATCCAAAAATCAAAAAATATGTTATCACACCACGGGTTATCTCTATCCTTTTGAGACGATAAAAACATTTATAAGACCTGTCTCTAAATAGGTAGGGGAATAGTTTTCGCTTGAAACGATTGAATTATTATTTTCAAGTGGATGGTTTGCCGTGGAAAATTATCATTGTATGATTGAATTTTTGTTATATTTTTAAATATACATATATTTCAAATTGTCTTGCATACAGACAAACCACATTCTCTTGAATTTATATATTTTTTTTTTTTACTTTTATTTTTTATTTTATTTTCACTTTTATATATTAATAATAATAAAAAAAAAATTTAAAGTTCAAGCGAAGAATTAGTAGAATTAGATTATTCAAACATTAATCATATAATAAATTAATCAAATATATATTATCCAAAATATTAATCAAATTATCTAATCAAAAGTTTATTATAAAAAATGAAAGTATTCGCGGTAAATAAATAAATGTGAAAATATTATTACCCAAAAAAAGTGTCAATGTTTTTATGATTTTTAACCTATTATTTTTCAATTATTATTGTAATTATTATTATAATTATAACTATTATAATTACTACTTGTTGCTGTTTCGTCGTTTCCCAGTTTTCCCGTTTATTTTACCACTTTTCTATTATGGAGGAAAGATGATTCCAAATTGACAAACCCATTTGTGTGAGGAATGTGTGACTAATACGTAATGATTTTATCTTACCTTTTTTGTTTTTTAATTTTTGTTTAATATCATTTTAATCACTTCGGAAGGAGGTAAAGAGGGTAAGAAAATGATGATGATCCATTATTTTTCAAAGGAGAATCGCTAAATATTTTTGACTCTACTTTCCTTTTCTTTTTTGACCCGTTTATCTTTGATTTTTTGTCATTTCATGTTGAAATATAATAATTTTTCTGTTCTCCAAATATGTATGCCTGTAAAGTATGATTTCGTCTCCTCGGAATAATAATGTTTTAAATTGTCCAAATTTATTTCTTAAATAAATAAATAAAGTTAAATATAATTAAATACACTTAAACAATTAAACATAATTAAACGTGATGAAGAATAATAAAAAGGCAAAAAGTATACCTTTTCTTCTTTATCCCTTAACATTAACATATCATTATTTTGATTCAAATAGATAAGGCGATGAAAGGTAATCTGATATTAAATCTTCTTTATTATTATTATTATTTTTTATTATTATCATTATCATTAACATGATCGTGATCACTCAATCGTTTCGGCAAATAAGCAATTGCTTCAACTATATCTTTCACATTATGAACTGTAATTGGAATGTAACTTCTTGGATCAAAGAA